CTAACACAGTTCAGGGTTCTGAAGGATTTGAATACCAATGCATTTACTCTGTACAGACAAACAAGACATAAACACAATAATATTGTCTTCTCTTCTAGTGGCTGAAAGTTGCTGCTTTTGCAGCTTCTGTTCTCAAGTCTTCAAAAATATTATTAAAATCTCACTGTCAAAATATTTTTTTCTGTTGCAAAGATTATAAAATTTATTTACTTTCCTAAGTCAGGTTCATACAAAGGAACTTAGTGTTCTGGTCTAAAAGTCTGATTTTTTTTACCACATACTTTAAAGCTAAAAATTGACTGTATCAAAATTGAGATTGTCCATTTAAGAAGCATAAATAACATTTACTATAAATGTTTCCATTGGATTACACCAAATTTTTATCTGTAAAACTAAAAGAAGCTCCATCTCCTCACGTATCACCTCTCATTGATATCCTAAATTCATATGATACTTGAAAATAAAATACACATCAAAAAATGTGTCCTGGAGCAGACAGTTACACTTCATGAAAGTTAATGGTAAAAGAGGAAGAGAATAAGATGAGGAGAAAGTCTATATAAAAATTCTCTTGGAGCAATTCGTTAAATTTGGTTAGAAAGTCAAAGTGTAAAACAGCATTTGAGAACCTACTCAAATTCCAAGCATTTCCAAAGGCTGAAAAACTCCATCTTTCATACATAAGGACACAGATAACATTACAAAGATACATCCATTCTGACAAAGAAGACTCCAGTTGGAATTTCAATTTGGTCAAGTAAAGTACTTTCGAGACAATTTTAATATGCCTATGATTTAGGTTACTAAAGACTTCATTTTTTGGAAAAAAATCAAATGGGGTAGGAAAAGTATATAGATAGGCATTAAAACATTCAGATAAAGCACAGTAGAGGAAAATTATGCATATTATTAAAATGTGAAGTACTTCAACAAGAAACGTAAGCTTTATGTTTTTTATTGACCTGATCAAATGCAATGGTAAGTCGGACAACTGATAAGGTGCCCGAAGTAATCTGCCCTGGGAGGCGGGAAGGAAAGGGCCTGTAAAACACTGGTGAATTTAATCACCTGATAGGATATGAATCTTCAATAATATATTTAGTTCTAAATTACAATTCATGAACATGCAAAAAAGGCTCCAAACTTATTTCTTAAGGTAGTCTTATCCAGTTTAAGACCCTCTCACTATTTTCTTAGACCTAAGGTCAGTTTGCTTTTATTTTTTTTAAATTCAATTCACAGTTGATAAATAAAATTTGGACCACTTCTTTCAATTCTAGCATCTGGGTAAAAAACAAAATGGTTAATAGCATTCATAACACATGAAAAAAAAATCTTTTTGTTGCTTACACACACACACATACACATGCACAGAGGAAGTTAGACTGTCTGTGTTTTCCTCTCTCACTTTTCCTGTCTTTATCCCTATAATAAAAATTATAGACTTAGGGAAAAAATAAACTAATTTCACAACCAAGAAAAATGATTTTTCTTCTTTCATCTTAGTAAATGCATATCTTTGCAAAGTGGGTATTATCTTATTTCGGGAATGTCATACATGGCCTATTTATCATTATAGAACATTTTCCTTATTACAGACTGTTGTAATATCACAGTTCTCCAAAGCAGTGTGAAGCATTTAGCCTACACATCAGGCACTGGCGGATCACACCTATAATCCTAGCTCCTTGGGAGCCTGAGATTGGGAGGATCACAGTTCAAAGCCAAACTGTGAGATCCCATCTCCAAAATTCCAAAACAACCAGAGCCAAATGGACTGGATGTACAGCTCAAGGAGTAGAGCACCTGCTTTACAAGTGTGAAGCCCTGGGTTCAAGCCAGAGCACCACCAAAAAGAGAAAAAAGAATGGAGTTTGCATACAAAAAGACCATTTTGAATCTGTGGCAGAAATACAAAAAAGAGCATCTAACCTAGTTGGTAAGGGGATTGTGGCACTCATGGCTCTGGCAGGAATCCAAATTTCCCTAAGAGCTTTTGGTGTTGAGGCATTTATGGAAAGACTACAGAACTGTGGGCACCATTAAAAGAAAGCAGCAAGAAAAACCAGAACTCTAGTACTTAAGCAGGTAGGGGAGCAAGGGGAAAACAAACCAGCGAATATCAAATGTACTGCTTTCCTCTGTCCTGCTATTGTCTAACTGGGGAACATCCCCCCCATCAGAGGAGTGTGCAAAGTAGATCTGGTAAGGTGGAGAACAGAGGACAGATTTCCAACATTTGTAGGTAGTAGCTGGTGAAAGCAAAACTGGACAGGCTACCAGACTACTTCCCACTGCTAGACTGGGTAACTAAGCGATTGAGTGCATCAGTCAGATACAGGCAGACTGAAGGCTGGAAGAATGGGTCCAACCTTGAACCTGTTGTTGAGTCACAGCTCGATGGAAATTCACATTGCTGGCTGGTGAACAGGGTTGGGAGTTAGGGAGAGTGCTATTGGGCTCCAGCTTCTTCTTTTTAAATCATTTTTTATTATATTACCTTTGTCCTGGAGGTACACTGTGACATTTACAAAAGTCCTTATATTAGTTAAATTCACTCCCCTCCATCATTCTCCTGAATTCCCTTCCCTGCTTTCCTGGAACAGTTTCAGCAGGTCTCATTTTTCAATTTTCATACACGAGTACATAGTTTTTCCACCACTTCATTCCCTACACCCTTGCCTTATATCCTCCCCCCTTATTCACCTTTTAGGTAAACTTTTAAAAAATAATCTAGAGAGTCAAATGTAAATTCTTCACAACGGTATTTGGTGCCTATTGCAATCTTCCTCCCCTTTCTTCTTCATTTCCTACCTGACTGCATAGTGTCAACCCAATACGTAGGCATTCAGTGTTTCATAATGAAATGTAACAAATTAGCATTAGAATTTAAGATTTCTTCAAATCATAGTATATTCTCTCAATGTGATCAAAACTATAGTTTAACTTTTCCATCATATTTTACTTGCTTGTTTTGTTACTAGAAAATTTCTTTTTTTCAGGACTGGGGATTGAACTCACAGCCTTGTGTGTGCTAGGAAGGTGATCTACCACTTGAACTATGCCCCCAGCCCTCAATTGTTATATGTAAAAAACAAAAAAAAACTACAGTGTTTAACTGAATCACTACATGGAAAAGAAGGTCATACATTAAGAAAAGACATAAATTAGATCAACTCCGATTTCGTGGTGCCTCAAGCATTGAGATTCCATCCATCATCGACCCATTGATGATGAGAGCTAGTGAGTTGTTCATATGGAAGTTTGAGAATAGAGAACAAAGAACAGAAGACAGTGTTGTGCTATGAGAATGACTACTAATATTACTCAGAAAATTAGCCTGCCTAAACTGTTTTTTACTTTTATATTTTAGCAATATTTAATAATGCTTTATGGCTGGTGTGATATTTTCCATGGTAACATTTCCAAACCATTGAGATCTGTAAATAACGTCTATAAAATATAACAATTCCTTAAATACTATTTGATTGAATAAAACAATGCAAGGAAGAATCATTAGTTTAATTAAAAATATGACAAGATTAATTCAAATAATGCTTTTTTACATGAAAGAAACAGTTTTAAAAGGCTGGAAATATGTGTTCTAGCATGTATGTTTTTTTTTTACAGTCAACTGTCATTCAGGAAAATGAATGCACAGCACACATACAAAAGTGAACCTTCTCCATGTAACTGGAAGGAGGCTTATGTTTGATGGCACCACTCACCCTACACACTTTATAGTAACAGAATGAAATGGAGTCAATTTAAGTGGAATCATGAAGGAATGTCTAACCAAAAAGCTTCAAAATATTCACTGGGTGAAAGAGACTGCATAAATCCTGTCTGTACTTGTGAATGGGCATTTCTGTATGATGTTAATCAAAAAAATCACTGAGATGAAAATATAATTCTTAAGTATAGCAGTACCTCTATTTATCAAATCGCCATATTTTTAAAATCACCCATTAGCTGAGGGAATAGTCAATAACTTGTCTTCTTGTTTTTGAGTATGTATTATACTAGATTGTCGGGGGGAGTTGGAAGGTGGCCCTGGGGTTTGATCTCAGGACCTCACATTAGCTAAGCAGTTGCTCTCCACTTGAACCGCAGCCCCAGCCCTTTTTTGCTTTAGTTATTTTTCAGGTTCAGATCACCATCCTCCTTCCCTCACCTTCAGAGTAGCTGGAACTATGGATGTACGTCACCATGCCTGGTTAGTTTCTTGAAAAAGGGTCTTAGCTACTTCTAGTTTTTCCCAGACTGGCCTTGAATTCCAATCCTCCTATCTCTGCCTCCTGAGTAACTGGGATTATAAACATGAGCCACTGCACTCAGCCCTCTTTATACAACCTTAAACATGAAAACAAAGAGGAAAAACCATAGCTATGAACATAGGTAAACACAAGGATTTTGCCCTTCTAACTAGGAGAGAAAGTCTTATCTATAGGGAAAAACAGAAGTGGAAGATTCATAATACACAGAAAACAATTCTTGATGAAAGACAGTTATCCTATGCCCCACCTTGACTGTGTTTTAGTTTCATTCAATTTCCTTAAGTTTTGAACTGTTTACATTCTTATAAGTTCTGACCTTTAACAAGTGACACAGTCTTTCTAAATGTCTAACTTTCTCAACTGTCTAATTAATAAAACAATAAAGACTATCATACAGAAAAATGTTTCTTATAGTCAGGAGCTATACATTTTTGAGATGTATTGCACAAAATGTTGACTGTATTTCACGATAACATACTATGTTTACAAATTGCTAAGAGAGAAAATTTAATTTACCAAAAAGTATTATAAGAATGTGAAGTGATACTCTAATTATCTTTATTGACTAATTGTACAATATATACCTATATTAAAACATCACACCTTTACCCCACAAATGTATACGAATAAATGCATATTAAAACATCACACTGCATTCTACATGTGCATACAAATAATGTCTGTCAATTTTGAAAAGCTCCAGGTTCTTAAATCCTTCCTTACAGCACAATCGTTCACATGCACATTTCATGTTAGGAGAACTGGCTTCCTCAGCAGAGCCATCCTGGTCCCTGGTCAACACGAAAGCTGCTGGGCAAGGATTAGTGGCGACAAAAGTGTTTCCAAACTGCTGAATATGTGTACTTTTCTCTGCAGCAAGCAAAAGCATTTGCTTGCTGCCTACCCTGGTCCCTTCCTTCCAGCTGTCCCTATTTGAGAGGAAGCGGGAAAGACTGCTTTGTTGTCTGGTCCCCTGCCAGTACCTTCCCTCATCACCCTCCAGCCTCTTGCTGCTGCCTCTGGCATCATGTCAACTCTTACAGAAAATTCTCCCCGCTCCTCTCCTTTTTCCTCTCTTCTCGTCTCTCTTTGTTCCCTTATTTTCTCTTTCTCTCTCTCTTTTCTCCTCTGTATATATTTTTTCTTTGTCTCTCTTTACTGCTTGACTTCTCTACAAGTTTCTTAGTATTTGTTCTCAGACCTACCCTGCAGACTTTGGCTTCCATGAGGTTTGTGCAGCCATACCCAGATTCTGGTTTCTACTGTTTCTTGACCTCACATCTCTGGAACTAATGTCCCCTCACTGATATCAGTGATATCAGGGTCTCTCTCTCTGTCTCTGTCTCTCTCTCTCTCTCAACAGTCAGAAACAGAAACAGCCCACAAAACAAACAATAATGACCAAGCAGGCAGAGTTGGAGCCATATGACTGCCTAATCAAAAAGTACTCATTGAACTTTATTTCTGTGCTAGGCACTGTGAGAAGTGTTGGGTAGTATAGGTGGAGACGCATCTGTCTTAAATTATCTCAAAAAGGGGTAAAGGAGCAATGATCCAGATTAGAACAATGTTTAATATTTGTACAGCGGTACCTCCAGAAATTTATATAGTCCCACCATAAATGCTGGTGTCTGTGGATTCCAGCAGGATACCGTAGGACTCTTGGAAGGGAGTAGGACTCATTGTTTTTAGGAGAAGGCTTTTTTCTCAAGACGGACTTGTCGATAACGGCCTGAATGCTGCCATACTGACCATAACCCCCAACCCCATTAAATATCTGAAATATACAAAAAGTTCAAAGGAACAATATTGAAAAATATAATGCTAGAATAAAATGTTACTGGCACATAAAAAAATAAACCAGTAGAAAGGAATATTGATAAAAAATGAAGAGTGAGTAAAATACTTGTTCAAGATATTTTTTGTGTAAGGATGATTTTATAGTAGTTAAGAAGGAATGGAGTATTACACTAATGGAAATAAGAAAATAAAGCAATAGAAAAACGCTTAAGACCAACACATGCAGCTACTAAGCTTACAAAGAGACATACAAAACCTCAATAGCAAAAGATTGCAAACTAAACTATCAAGTTTGGCCTATCATCTTTTTAAAAAGTGACAGTTACTAACAACATCCAATGTTAGCAGGTGGTGAGAGAAATGGGACGAACATGAAATACCAGTGGCGGTAAGAATTAGATGTTTTTCTGGGTAGCAAACTGACAATCTTTTTTACAGTGAGAAGTAAATAACAAATCATGCTTTTCTATCAATCCTGTTCTCTGGACTTATCCTAAGGAGAAAATCTTACTCAAATGTATAAAGGTGTTTGTGTTCGCACCTTCACCACTCTGCTTCTTATAACTACATGCATTTGTGAGAACTTTTAATGTCCAACAAAAAATAGGGCACTACCATTATGGTACACTGATATAATGGAAAGCAATGGTGAAAATAAACTAGGGTCAAAAAAGTGTGTTAAAGGGACAGGTGTGGTGGTGCTCCCGTGTAAACCCAGCTACTTGGGAGGTGCAGATAGGAGTCCAAAGCAGGCTCACATAAAAGTGTGAGACCCTATCAAAAACAAAACAAAGGAAAAAAAGTTGGGGTCTGGGGAAATGGCTCACGTGGTAGAGCACTTAGTGTTTAGCAAACACAAGGTCCTGAGTTCAATCCTCATTGACCTCTCCAAAAAGTATGTTAATATAAATACACTTATTAAAATATGCACAAAACTATGAAGAAAATCACATCAGATCATTTTCAAACTATTTTTTTATTATCTTTTATATACTTCTTGTGAGGCACGAATATTTTCATAACTATTTCTATTTTTCTTATTAAAATGTATTTGTTTTAAATATTTGTGAAAACAAGCTGTATAAATCTCATCTTTACACACTGGAGGTTCAGTCATTCTACGTCAATTATTTTTACTTTATTCTGTGAGCTGAAGTTAAAGAACATCGAAGTCACTTGTTTCCAGAGCAAGCAGACACGGACTGTAATCAGCACTCCTCAAAAGGTCTGTGTGGACAAAACTTTCCTCTGACCCAGGCACAGGCTACACATGTATGAATTGCTGTCCATGTGGCAGACATGGAATGACCGGAACAGTCCAACTCACGAAAATAAAGGGAGTTTTCCCTGGAGTTCTATGGTCCTTTATTGTAGGACAAATATAAAATTGTGGGAACATTCAAAAGCAAAGTAACTGTGATGTTCAAGAAAGGCAAGTGGTGCCTTCCCCCAACCCAACGTAACTGGCTGGAATCACGAGGCCTGGGTGGTGTGCAGTAACACATCCCCAGAGAGGAAGAAATTCCACGCAGTAGACAGTGGACCTACAAAATTTCTATCTGTGGAAGATGGCGGAGTCAAAACAAGGGAAAGATGGCCTGCAGTGACTAGAATAAATTGACCGCTCTCAGATCTGCAAGTGCCTCTAGGTGGAACCTAAGAGTATATGAGGACAGAGCATTTCCAGCATCAGGAGCTACAATTACTCTCTCCAAACATGCAGCCTGCTGCCACTGTCGGAAACAGAACCATGAAGTACAGGAAACCATATTAACCCAGAAAATCAATCACTTTGCTAGGAGTAAAATCAACTAAGAACTGCGCTGCGTGTGTTTCAGGCACGTGATAGGAAACTGATAAAATACCGTTGAAAATAAAGCCGGTCTTATTCCTAAATAACTAAGAATCCAGGATGGGAAGACAGGTAAGTTCTAAAAGCTTGAAAAGGAGGGTCTACAAGAAGTAAATAAGTCTTAAAATTAGCTGCTTGTCACCCAAGTGATACACCTGCCTCTGAATAACATCAACCTGTCAGAGTTGAACTGCTTAATACTAGCCAAGTGTTGTGGCTCACATCTATAATCCCAGCTATTTGGGAGGCTGACCAAGAAGAGCATATCTCACAGAACAAGTTGGGCACAGTGGCACAGATCTGTAATCCCAGCTATGCAGGGAGCCAGAGAAAGAATTTTGGTATGAGGCCAACCCGGCAAATAACTGTGAGACCCTACCTGAAAAATAACTGTAGCAAAAAGGGTTAGCAGTGTGACTCAAGTGGGAGAGCCCTTTCCTAGCAAGCCTAAGGCCCTGAGTTCAAACCCTAGTACCACCAAAAATAAGAAACAAAAAATAAGTTACTAAATACTTTAAGTTCCTTTTCTATAAATCTGACTGATAAAAATGATATGCAAATTACATGCTAATTATCCTCAAAGTCAAACCAAAGAAGAATTTAGAATCTTTCCAGCATAATTCCACTTGGGAGCTGAGGTTCCTTTTCTTTATGTCTCAGTAGTAAGGAAATGAATAAAGAGAGCAATGCTATTTTTAAGAAGAGCCTCCATGTGTTATTGTTTATTGAATTTCTGTCACCGCAATACTGTGTTATAGCACTTTTAAAAGCTTCATTCAGTAAACATGGGATTTACTGTACATCCATCTGTACATCAGGAAATTCTGTAACACTGGGTTCAGGGGATAAGTCTATGACTTCGATTTGCCTGATTACACCATTTTAACAAATTTGTGCAGGATTACCATACAGAAATATTTTGGAAATCATGAGAAATGCGGTAAGTCAGCTACAAGTTTTCTTACTGACACTCTACACTGACCCAAGTATTTACCAAGTCCCCCTATTCACTGATGTTTGTTGTGTAGGAAGCTGGGAGGAAGGCAACAGGATGAAGGGTACCAGCCTAAAAGTAACGCCAACATAAAGCATCTTCTGAAATGTTGATGCTCTAACCTCTACGTTTTCTTAGATGTGGAGATACACAGACAGATGCCCACCCCTTTCCACATATGTCAGTAATGACTAAATTGTCAACAGCTCTGCAAGGTCTTCCAGGGCTAAACAGCAGTCATGTCACATTGCAAAAAATAAAACTTGACCTGTGGTCACTCTTCAGTGTCTGAATAACACAAGTGCACTTGCTGTGTATGTGGGACCTGCCACCAACAGATGTGGCTTACTGTACACGGGTGGACATGGCACTTGTGATCACACACCATCTTTCTTACTGAGTCAAGTGGGTGGTCCACCAGGCTCATCGTTTTAGGCATCTCTCACTTCCTTGTTAAATTTGAGGAGCACCATCATTTAGATGTGAGCTAGAGTCAACTGAGTCTTCATCAGTGAAGCAGTGAATATCTTAAATTCAATACATATGCACACATATGTGCTTAATATATACATATATATATATATATATGGTGCATATTTTCATTGACACATACTGATATCTATAGCTTGCCTTGCTTTTTTACTTAATGGTCACCAATAATTAACAATGTACAAGTCACCAACAATTAATAAGTGTTAGTATTTAAAAATATAAAAGCATTTTTAGTTTTGATAGTTTTGCACTACCAAGCAGAAGTCAGATCCACTATTGACTTCCTCCTTGAGTAGTGTTCTTATTTTTCCTCCCTCTGTATTCCTTAGGAACAGCACCCATTAGGAAGCTTACATTATACCTGGTGCTTCCAACTGAGAATAAGCATTTGAACAGGACTCCCAGAGACTCTGATATGCTGGCCCAGGGTGGGACAAGGCAGGGAGTAGCCCTCTCCTCTCTCATTACAGCATGAGGCTGAAGGGCAATGATCCAAAAATAGATTACCTCCTTGTCCCTGCTGTCACATGTGTGCCTTGTATTTATATGAAGATTGTAGCCACAGGAAAGCCCCACCAGTAAGTTCAGAAGTGCTACAATGATTTACATCAGATGCAAATATACTGTGAATACCAACAGAACTTTGACAAGATTTCAGCTCTTAAATGTGATGTTACATTTTGTAATACCTGTAAAGTAGATACCTCAGGATAAGTTACTTTAACTTATTTCATATGGAAGGTTTTATTTTGTGCATTTTGAAACGAATAATTTTGCTTCATCATGATTACAATACAGTCAGGGTCATCTGACTTCTGGAGCTCAAAATCTGAAAACAGACATTTGAACAGTATTCGGTTCGGCCATTTGAAGAAGATACTAAACAAAATGCCGACGGCTGTGGTCACATTCATGTATGTGTCCCCAACCAAGTCCATATATTGGAATCCCAACTCTGCAGGAGAGGCAGGGCTGTGGGAGGTGACCAGGTCATGAGGACAGAGCCCTCATAAGTGGGATCAGTGATAGAGGGTCTGTGTACCACTTCTACCATGTAAAGACACAGCAAGAAGACATCCGTCTATAAAATAGGAATGGGTCCTTACAGACACCAAGCCTGCCAGCACCTTGATCACAGACTTCCAGTCTCTAGGACTGAGAGAAATGAGTTTCTGATGCGTATAAAACACCCAGTCTGTGGGATTTTGTTACACCAATGTGAACAGACTAGGAAAATGACAGAACCAAGTTCAACAGAACACTGAAAAATATAACAGAAGGTGCACATTTTAAGTTAGGCATGAAGTAACTAAGGAATCCTAAAATTTCAATGCAAAATTATCCTTGCTAGCAATGTTTTAAATTTTTCCTTTTTTGTTGGTTTTGGAAGTGGTGCTGTGGCTGAAAACCCAGCGCCTCACACATACTAGTCAAGCACTGTGTGGCTGAGATAAATCCCTACCCCTTGGAATTCTTAAGAGAGAGTGTTGTATGTATTGTTCTTTTAAAACATAACAATAAAGCTTTCCTAATTTCCATTTTATTAATTTACACCACTCAAGTTGGATTTCACAACAAATCAGAATCCCCTTTTTCTATTTCTCATTTTTATTTAAGAAATATGGTGAAACTTAAATGTATAATTCAGTACTGCAGAAAACACACCAGGGTACAGGAAGCTGACAATGAACTAGCTTGGGGAACGCTTAACAGAAAAGATATTTCTTTCTTTTTGGTGGTACTAGGGTTTGAATTTAGGACCTTGCGCTTGCTAGGCAGGTGCTCTACCGCTTGAGCCATATCTCCAGTCCTAAGAAAAGATAACAGTGATGTTGTAAGAGAGCCCAGGTAAGAGATCATGCAAACCTGATGTACAGCAAGTAGCTCTGGAGATAAAGAACAGAATATATTTCATGTATGTTGGTGATGGAATCAACATGTCCTAACAAAAATTTTCCTAAGATTAGAGGAAGAGCTAGAGGAGAAGAAGTTAAATAAATGACATCATGATTACTTTTTTGAATGAAAGGTTAGCTAGTGCTACCATTATCCTGGTAGGAAAATGTAAATATAACAACCAGTTTGGAAGCAGAGTAGAGATAAAGAGTTCAGTTGGGGAAGTACTAAGTCTGGGGTCTGTGGAACACTCTAGTGGGGATGTCCTGAAGACAGGGTCATGATGGTGATGGGTAGTGTTTCATTCTGACTAGGCTTTGTCCTGATTCTCAACAAGTAACAAGTGACTACAAGACCGACCAGCCATCTCCATCTCTGAGTACCAAGAAAGTGTAGAGTGCCCAATCCTGAACAGTTATCCATGAGCCTCAGAAGAATCCTTTTGTTCCTACACTGCTGTGGGGCTGGCAGAGAATTTCTGTCTGAGCTAGAGACAGCTTGAGAAGAAAAAGACAGCCAAAAAGCACCTTTGGGCTAGTCCATGTATGACAGATGGTCTTTGTTCCTCCAGGGCATTAATTAGACGGGAAAATCTGGAGAAAGCTAGATTGGATCCTTGGAAACTCTATTTAAGCCAAAAACTTTATTGAAAAACCCAATAGGGGGAAGAAGAATATGTCATTGGTGACTCCAAGAAAGACCAATGTGGGTAGAGGAGGAAAAGAAGGAATGTGTTAGTTACATACAACCAAGGAATGCAGATATCATAATCCTTGTCACTTTTGACAAACCTAGTTGAAAATGTATAGCAAATCAGGTATTCTCCCTACTCATTCAGGTCTTCTCTTTGACCCAAATAAGTGTTTTCCTTGATTATGCTTTACTTAAGTTCTTTAATTCTTAAGGCCTCTAATTAGAAAACAGCACAGGTATTATTCCTAGTTTATACTTATCTGATTCTTACCTGCAGGTCAAATCTTCACTGGTGATGAGCTGTAACCTGGCCTGTTTCATTCCTCTGCTAGACATCTTAGTGTTGCTTCCTTTCTTTTATACTGTCTCATTATTTTACCAGTCCAGATAAATATAAGAAATTCCATAATACAGATTTCCCAAATAAAAGGTTAAATACCTTGATCTGACTTTGACAATTAACTTAATCAGGTTTTTGTATTATTTTGCCTTTTTTTCCAGACATCTGCAGAATTTTTCAGATGGAAATTGTTAAGATTTCTGTCAAAAACCTCTAAGAAAATGCTCTGAGCCTTCTGTCCATATATCTACTTCTGGAGAATAAAATAATATAAAGTGTATGTTAGCCAGATGCCAGTGGCTCATGCCTATAATCGCAGCTACTCAGGAGGCAGCGATCAGGAAGGTTGTGGTTTGAAGCCAGCCCAGCAAAAAGTTTGAGAGCCCCTAACTTGAAAATATCCAGCACAAAAGTAGGGTTAATGAAATAACTCAAGGTGTATGCCATGAGTTCAAACCTTAGTACCATAAAAAAAAAAAAAGTGTATGTTGGAATTTTTAAACTCATTAAAGAATTTCCTATTTGGAATACTTAACATACCCAAAACCAATAACTGTACAATAAAGACATTCATTATCAGCAAGGAGATTTTAAATATCATTTTAGATTGATCATGGTACCATAACTGTTTACCATCTGTGGTTTTCCCTCTCCAGATGGTATTTTTTATTTCCTATTAGGTCACATCAGGAGCTACTGGAATGCCAGTACAGCAGTATTCCCTGGGAAGGCTTTCCGAGGTCTTCTGGAATGCAGTGATTAACCTAAGGGGTCTCAGATAAAGGCCATGGGAAGGAATGCAGGAGTTGATAACAACAATTAAAATGATTCCAGCAGAGGAATTCCTGAGATAACTTCTAGCCAAATAATAACAAGAATGTGTCAATGTATTTCCCATTCCTACAATTTCAGCATGACCTCTAAGAATCTGGACTTGGCCGTAAAATCCAATTATGTTTAGTTTTCAACAAACTGATTTTTATTAACCCAAGTCCCTCCCAAGGATTTTGGGTAACATGTAGATGCTCAAACCAGGCAAACTTTCCTGACAGTGGCTTTCAGTACCAAAATATTTTTGTCATTTTCTTTCGCTGTCAATTTTAAGTGGAAAAAACTTTCAAATATAGACTATTTTCCCGACTTCTCAAAAATACTCCACAGAAATAATTTAAACTTGGTGCTATTTAAATCTGCTGGGAAACAATGACAACTGTAAAGATTGTTGACAGTGACATTCATTATATATATCCCTGGACCTTCGTCATAGAAACAACCATTATACACAACACAGAAACTATATATAGACCATGTAAAAACTATGAGCTATGAGCTTCACGTGTTTCTTTGTCTTGGTGCATAAGTGGTGTCAGAATTCCCCAATGGAACAAACATGTGTGAACACATACTTCTTGTAGAAGTTTAAAAAAAGGCCGTAAATTCCAGAATCACAAACTAGCACATACACCTGAGGATATAAAATAACACACATATATTATAAAATATGAAAATGCACAAGTCTGAGGAAGCAGAGAAAGCATAATAGAACGTTACAGAACTGAAGGGACCTAGCAATGGAACTGAACCTCTCTCTCCCTTGTCCCCAAAACGAGGCTGCTCCACCTAAACCCACTTTGTTATCTCCAGGCTACTAGCAACAATTTCTGCACTATCCCTTTACCATATTTCTTCTCACTGATTGAGTTTTGGATGTTACTGTTGTTTTTCAACATCCTTTTTGAGGCACAGGATCCACATAAGAAACTTTCAAAGGCCCTAGCCATCACTGTGGTGAAATTTAACCTCTGGAGTCAGAGACTTGGTTCCAGTCTAGAATCCACTGTGCTGCTGACATTGGTCAAATCACTTAACTTCCTGAAATCTCAGTTTCTTTACCAGAAAGAAAGGAAGAACACTACTTACCCACAATGTTTTAAGGATCAGCTGATGTACTCTTTTGCACTGATATCAGCCACCATACTAAGTAGCTATCAAAAGCTAAGTGGCAG